GGCGTACAAGGGTCAGGTTGAAAACCCTAATTTTAGGGTTGTACCCTATATAAGCATAATGTTAGCCTCTTTCTTCATTTCTAAGTCATCCCGCACCCTCTAAAAACCCTAGAAATCGTCATTTAGCCTTCATGGTGGCATTTTGAGCTCATTGTGTCCATTTTTTTTATGTGTTTGGTCCCATTTCCAAGAAGATGGAGTTTGGAGCAAGGATGGGAATCAAGGAAGAGCTTATGGATCTTGCTTATGTGTCTCATTTCTAGCTTGTTGGAGGTAAAAAGTTTTGGACTTGATCATTGATGTCTTAGATCTATCATTTATGAGTTTTGGTTCATTTTAGTCCCAAGAATGAGATCTAGTGGTCTTGATTCCACTCCACGAGCTTTGAGTTGCCCCTCTTCGTGTTTCTGAGGTTCAAGGTCCATAAATCTAGCACCTTTAGAGTTTAAAACCATCTATGTTGGAGTATGAGTCACTTTCATGAAAGTAGAATGCTACACTTGAGATTGAGTCTTCTTGGGGCATGAAAAGTCACCAAGTTAGTGACTTTATGGTTCTAGACGTTCATTAAGAAGTGGATCTGTGGTTTGGACTTATGAGATCAAGCATTAAGAGCTTAATAAAGGTTTTGGCTCAAGAGAGGAGTACGTTGGGCGTACAAGTCTGTACGCGCAACGTACAAGTCAAACAACCTCTACGCTTAGCTTACAGCTGACTACGCCCTGTGTACTCAGTCAGGGGGAGTTTTGCTTATTGGGCTTCTGTGTGGGCCATCTGTTGGGCTTATTTGTTTCGGGCCTTGTTGGACCATCAGGTTTTGGTCTGATAGTGATTTTGAGAAGGTCCACGAAGGGATTTGGGCCCAATTTGGAAAATTGAGCCATAGTTTAGGCCACGAGCGGTTTTTGGGTTTTTGGGCTTAAGTGTTTGAGTTATTAATGGGCCATCGGAATACAAAGTGTTTGGACTAGAAAGAATGGTTGGGCCTTAAGGTAAGGCCTATGTAAGGAGTTTGGGCCTAATTTGGAAAATTGGGCCATTGGTTAACTAATTTTCCTTTGGGCCTTTCAGATTGTAAGTTTGGGTCTTAAATTTGGGCGAGGCTAGGTTAGGGGTAAAATGATCTTTTTACCCTAGGTATGGAGTTATGGTTATGGATTGGAACCCAATTGTTAATTAGGTGTTGTTTTGTTATTGATAGTTTGGAGATCTGCCAATCAGCAGCCAAGGGTGTTTCTGTATGATTCAGCAGTGCGAGGTGAATCTTCTTACGATATCTATGGGTCGAAGGCACCAATGTCGGCCCATTACGTGTTATGTGGTATGCTAGTTATCTCTGTGATACTTGCATGAAAGACCCCGGGGGGAACCCGTGATATTTGGATATCAGATCATAAGGGGAAAGCCCATGACATTCCATATATAAGACCATGGGGGAACCCATGGCATCCCAAATAAATACCATAGGGGAGCCAATGGCAACTATATGTATGTTGCATGATATTATGTGGTTGTATGTTGTATGGTATTTTGGGAAAATCACAAAGTTTTGTGTTTTTGGTTTTCAGTTTATGTTTCAGGTACTTCGATTTTCAAATGGAAGGGTTTGAGATGATTGCAGAACACACATCACATGTTTTCGTTTTCTGTGAATTACTCTGATTTGTCAATGTTTTGATAAAACTTAATTACTCTGGTTTTATGGGAAAGCATGTATTAACGATCTATTAATCTAAAAATAAAAAATTTTATGTCATGATATTTGGGGCGTTACAACATGTATACATTAAATTCAACAGACACAAATAATACAAAAAAAAGAGTCATTGATTTAGTAGCTAACACGCCCCACCATTCAAGGAGAAGTCGTAGTTTCACTTTTTTCATTTTAAATTATTATGTTTTAAAATATCTATTTGTAACTGGTTAATGGCTAAAATAAAATAAAAATGGCAAATAGGGAACAAAAAAATATTGGAGGCTAAATACAAACTCATACGTAAAAGTTGGAACTAAATATAAACTGAGAAAAATACAAAACTAACACGTCATCATGACATTTTAGTGACCGGTCAATGGCCTAAAAATAGAACATTATTCAAAATATAATGATAAGTGAGAATCAAAAAATAAAATTTGTGCTAAAACAGAACAATATTGTATATATTTTATGGAATAAACTCAATATTAATGTACATGTTACATTAAAGTTAAGAAATAACTTAACAAGAAATTTTATTTCTAGATTTATGAAAATTGTAACTTTCTTGATAAGAAAACCACTTTCAACTTTTTCGGGTATAATTAATTTTCCAGTTATCTTTATTCCTCGTTTTATATTTTTATTTTCTAAAACCTTGTAAAGTATGTGGTTTCCAAAACTCTCCGCCCTTTTTTTTGATTGCCATAAATAACATCCTTACTATTATAGCTTAAATTTTTCCTTGTTCCTCCTTTCATGCAATTTTGCGAAAACCTCTCTTGTCACTCATCTTGAATCATGTTCCACCAATATATCAAAAAAGTAATTTTGCCAGTTTTATACAATGCTATATGGTGTCCATGACATGGATACCAACGAGCAACATACCCCTCTATATCACCTATTACGCGTCAAAAATTGCTCCATACCCGATGACCTAACGAGCAACAAATGTTTGCAACTTAAAAATCTCTCTCTCTCTCTCTCATAAATTTTATCTTGATGGGAGCCTAGGTGGGATTAATGTCGATGACACTTTAGCCTAACCATTGGATCCGAAAAAAGATACAATATCTTTGTATTTTAACTTACAGTTTACACAAAATTTTCAATTTACATTAACTTTTTAAACTTTAATATATATTAGGATATTGGTGATTTTGAATCCTTGTATTTTAACTTATATTTTATACAAAAATTTCAATTTACATTAACCTTTAAGCTTTAATATATATATATATATATATATATATATATATATATATATATATATATATATATATATATTAAAATACTAGTGATTTTGAATCCATATTGCTAAATCTGCATTTTTAAGTTTTAGTGACTACTCAAATAAATAAATATTTTTTTGTCACATCTCACATTATCATTCAATTTTTCAAATGTTATGTTGTGGTTATTTTGAGTTAATATTTTTACACATGTCATTTTATGAATTTTTTTTATTTTAATAAATTTCATAAAATACTTTAATATAATAATTACAATAAATATAGTAATAAGTAAATGTCAATTTCATTAATGAATTTATCTTATTATTTCAAAATAATCAAATTAAATTTCATTAATTTATTTTTCTTATCTATTTAAATTTAAAAGTTAAAAAATCATTTTTAATAATTCATTATTTTTTTATTTTCTTATAAATCCAAAGTTACTTATTAAATATTTAGATTTTTATTATATGATTTCTACACCTAATATAATTATATGTAAAATTAGTTAGAAGATTTTTGTTGGCGCCAAACAAAGAATAAGAAAAAATTTCCACTTTGCATTTTACCGCAATTTCTACACCTTTCTTAAACATTTCTTCCCTTTTACAAATAAAACAACAACAGCCACCCTATATAATGATTTTAATTCAAATCTCCCACAAGGATTCCGATTGTTTTCTTTGTCGTTCCTCATTTCTCAGAGGGAGTTGCAGGTGCCTCATCTTGACGAGATATCACAGTTTCAAAAGCACCCACCAACGCCCCCACCTTCGTCTTCATGTCCTCCACAAGCTTACTCGCCGTTTCCTCTATCACACTATTAAGCAACTCCTGCGCTTCTTTCCTCCCCACTTCTTGGTGCTTCAAATTCACTTTCTCTGATTCTTCCTCTTCATCGCTCTCCACCACCGTTCCCGCCTTAAATTTCAGCCTCCGAGGACCATCATCCCCCTCGACCTCCAACACTTTCCCTCTCCTGAACTTCACACCCCGCGGACCATCCTTTCCTTCGGATCTCACCACCCTATATCTTCTTGCTTTCTTCTCACCATCATCATCGTCGTCATCATCCTCATCATCTTCTTCTTCTTCCAAGATATAACCTTCTTCATCGTATTCAAACTCTTCTTCTACCAGAAGTTCTTCATCACAAACTTCATCATCCACAGACTCTGAGTTTTCAACCTGTTCGTTGGAAGAAGATTCACAGTTTTCAGATGATGACTCTGAGTTTTCAACCTGTTCTTCATCCAAAACCTCTTCGGAATTTTGAAGGACGGTCGATTCTGTTGTAGTTAGGGTTTCAGGAGACTCGATCGTTTCTTCTTCAACGCCCATTTCTGCAGCCTCAGCTTCTTGCAAGATCATTTCCTGCATCTTATCTGCTATCATCAGCCTGAGCTGCGTTTTTGTTATCACAGTTTGATCCTTTCGAGGAGACGCAGGTTTATGGCTCTTTTTGGGTGTAATCTTAGTAACTTTTTTGTTTTTAAGGGTAGACGAAGAATGGTTGGCTGAAATTGGCTTAATAACTTTTTTAGAAGGTAGCGAGTTATGGCGCTTGACGACTTTAACAGGTACAGCAGGAGTACGGATTTTGGGAGCTCGAGAAGATTTAGGTTTTATTTCCGTGATCTTCTTTCTCTCGACAGAAACTACAGTCCTTTTGACTCCATTATTCTTAGTGACTGATCTTTTTCTTGAAGCCAATGTTCTTGTAGTTCTTAATTCCATCTTTTCATCTTTCTTACCATGTTTACACAAATCATGACAAGAACCAGTTGAGGGTGTGAGATAACGAGAAGTTGTCATAGCGTATATTCTTTTTGGACCCAAATTTCTTGTATTCTTGTAATCCATCCATTCATCTGTAGCATTTTTACAGGAATCATGACAAGAACCAGTTGAAGGTTTGAGATAACGAGCGTTGACTCGGTATTCTTCTATGATAGTTTTTCGAGTGGTTGATGATATGATGTATCTTCGGGGTGGTTTGCCTCCCGGAGCACCCCCAACACCATTTTCATCTACTCGGGTAGCCATTACAATAAGAAGAAAGCTTAAAAGTCAAACCTGACACCACACAACAACATGCATGTCACCAATGTGATAAAAAGATGATGCACATCAAAAGCATAATATTTTTATGAACATTAATTTGAAATATAACTCAATTTTCACTGTTTTGGAAAAGGTGATTGATGTTTATGGTTGAGAATTTAAGTGGAATCTGGTTTCTGTTTAGAGATTAATCATCAATAATGGCAGAAATAAATGATTTCGATCATGTAAACATATATCATAATCATTAGCATTCAATTGCGTAGACACAACAGAATCCACAAAGCACGTAGTGTAATTGAACAGAAATCCGAAGAAAAAAACAAAGTATCGATCTTAAAAGGAACTCCGTTTAGGAAAAAAAGCAATCGATAACAGAATGTATGATCCTTATCCTTCGCATACAATTGAAATAAAAGATACAGAATTAAAATTACGAAGAACATGAAAGCTAAATAGGATGTACCTTTCTGCTACTTGAGCTTTTTTCTTAATTAGAATTAGGAAGAAGATGAAAGCGAAATAGGACGTACCTTTCTGTTACTTGAGCTTTTTTCTTAGGAGAAGGGAAAAAAGTCGAGTAACAGAAAGGGCATTGATTATAGATGAGTTATGCCTTGGATTAAGAGCCCTAATAATCACAATCATATATAAAGCAATATTTAGCGGGTTTCATGGCCAAAGACATGGCAGAGAAAACAAGAGCTTCAACCGTTTTTAGTAATATATAAATTTAATTAAATTATTTATTTTCGATCACAAATCCAAAATAAAAAAATTCCCAAAAAAACAAGAGGATGATTTCTTTTCAACTTTACCCAATCATATACTATTCCGACATATGTGCAATTGCAAGATGCTACTTTCTTGCATTATGAAACAAAGTTTGTGTATACATATATTTGTTTATAGCTTTTCTTCTTTTTTGCTCCAATTAATCATGATCGTTTACGACCTGAAACTGTCTTCTTAACTGCACCAACGGAAACTAGAAACTGATCGAGCGATGATAAAGTTTTCATGTCATCTGGAGGAAAGTAACTTGCAGCCTTTCCCATAATCGATGTAAACAGAAGTTGAAGAGAAGGTCGTGTAACATAACGCTCTCCTAACAGATCATCAAGAAACGCAAAAGCTGCTACAAAATCGGATCTGTTTGCGTTTACAGGAGCCGCAAAGTGTGCAGGGATGATTCTCTTAAATCTCCAATCTCTCGAGATGCTGTCGATCCAATCCCTCACCTGAAAACAAAAAACAAATCATCGATTTGATTTCATTTTCCTTTTCAAATCGACAAATTTAAACAGGTCTAATAATGGTTAATTACTGGACATGCCTTTTCAGGAACTTTGCTGAAGACTAATGTTTTAACAATTGGGGAAACGATTAATTTCTGTGACATTTGTGAGAAACTAGCGTTTGGTTCTAGCAGATTTGATGGGCCAAGAAACAAGATTTGAAGAACCATTCTCTCCCACCCTGTAACAAAAGAGGATCGCTGATTCAATACATAAAATGGCAAAAGGGTACAAGCGTAATTTACTTTCCTTAACCAATAACAGACCTTTTTGCCTGTTCATGGAGTTATCAATGACTGGTTCTTGAGAGACTTGTTTCCCTTTACTAAGAAGCTTCACAGCCAACCCGTTTTTAGCAGAAGCCAACAACGAATCATTGCTTATACATTCAGGAGGCTGTTTTGGTACATATATTACAGCATCAGTTACAAGTAGTGTCTTTGAAGGCTTATGATAAAATGCGACCTCCACGTATGGTCCGATTCCTGAATTAATCAACAACGAGAACGAATGAATGATAGATGAACCTTGAAGGTAATTGATGAGAAGGTTAACTAAGTGATTTTAGGGTTTATATTACCGACTTCAGGAGAGCTAAGAATCTTTTGTTCGATCTCTGAACCCCATGGGGTTGAAAGATCTTCATGTAGTAATGTTTTGGCACGAAAAATCCCGAAAAATTCAAGTGGTAAATTCAGAGGCCAACTCCATTGTCTTGGTGCCACCCATATTTGAGCTTCTGGGAACTTTCTGGAAAATGGGGCGACAAATATTTTATGCTCGTAAGCAAATGTAGGCAGGACAATGTACTCTACTGGAGCTCCTAACTCCTTCATTAACTGGAAAATTGGAAGAGAATTACAAGTTTGAAATTCAAAATCCAAACAAAGATGTTGAAATTTGACATGAATTAAGTAGCTACCTGAATGCATTCTTTAGTTGGGGCAATTGGTGCATGAACCCACAATCCACCTGATTTGAGTTTGATTACAGTCATTCTGATGTTTGTTGAGACGCTGCTGAATCCCAATGCCTGTTCTTGCTCGAACAGCCATATGCAGTCTTTTACAGCCTGAAATAATCATGGTGGGTGAAGATCTTAATGTAAATAAATACACACCCATGGAAAATTTTCTCATAGCCCTAAAGAATAGGGCTTTACCTCGGTCCTGATAGTGCGTCTATTGAGAAAAGGGCCAAGAGGGAATGGGAAACCAGTGAAATTGACGTAAAATCTACCACTACCACCGCCGGTGGTGGTTGTAGCGGTGGTTCCGGCGGAAGCAGAGACTATCAACCTGGGAAAATCCAAATCCCTAGGTTTATTGGCGTAACCTGGTTTGAAATTTAAAGATAAACCCTCTAATGGACACCCACTAAGGAATTTAGAATTGGATTGTTTGGGAAGATCAATAGTTGTTGATTTAGGTAAAAGAACAGATATGGCTGTCGCCATTTCTGTTAATTTTTCTGAAATTGATGAAAGTAACCGGAAGTTGAAGAACAAAGAAGAAAGAAAAAAAAAAGAGTTTGAAAGGTAAGGTGTGTGATTCAAGGTAATGCTTCTTACACGTGGACTCCCATAGTCCCATGTTGGGGGATCTTCCTACCTGGATATTCAGACTTATTTTTGTCTTTTTTATTTTGTGACAAATAACTGCTGATAATTAGATGATGAAAAATTGAAATCGTGATTTTTTTTTTTTAATATTACGTGTTTGATCGATAGCTGTGCAAAACAATCTTAAAGTTTTGTTGTTTTTGCATAATTCGTTTAAATAATTACCAGAATTTGTATGAAATAACATAATCAAAACAATTAGAGGTCCAACAATAAATTGAGTTTGAATGAAACATGTCACGACTCTTACACCACATTCAATTTTTATAACTGTTTATGCATTTAACCAAACACATGGTCAAAAGATACGTACAATCATTGAATAAATATCAAACAATTATCCGTCACAACTAGCTTTTAAGAAAACTACACTACTTAGACTAGATTTTTAAAAGTTTTTTTAAATTTTTTCTAAATATACTCTTTAAATAATTATAGAAACACATATTCTCTTAAATATTTTATGCAATTTTATATATTTCAGATAATTTTACCAAACATTATTTTTTATTAGCTAACATTTAGCTTTTTATTTAACAACTAACTTTTCAACGAAAAGATTATGAATATATACCGATGGGAAGATTAAAATCAAAATTTCATAATAACCACCATAATCCAATAATCCAATCTACGGTTTTCATAAATGTCACGTAAAAAATTCATTATCATTGTTGTTTATTCATATCTAGTCACAAATTTTTCAATCCTTTAGAGATCAGGCTGAGCGTTTCAGAATAGTATTCAAGAATCCACAAAAATACGCAAAAAAAAAAAGTAACTTGGAAGCCTCACCAATTGTATATAAACCTTGAACAGTAACTTGTATAATACATATATTAATCACATGTGTCTTTTTCCCTTATTTTCTGATATATTTTTTTTATTCAAGATTTTCATTGTCCAACCATTCTCATCTCAACTGCCGTATCATCATTTGTAACTATACCAGCAATCTTTATCTGCAACAAGTTATAAATATATACACTAATTTAACAACAAGATTCAAGAAAAAAAATAGTATTTATTTATTTATTTATTTTAGAATCGAAGACTAACAAACCTGTAAACGATTTGACCCGGGATCGATTCTCATAATATAACACAGGCACATTTGTTTTGTTTGAGGTTACTTGTCGCTTTCTTTTCTGGTAAATGACCAAAAAAGGAAGGTTGTCTTATGTTAGAACAAGAAGATACGTAAGCTAGTGGAAAAAAAACTGTACTTTATCTTCTCCATCCGTGTCTTGAAAATTGCAAGATTTCTATTTATGGAAAGGGATCATAAGGACATGTATATGGCAATTGGCATTGTTACAAAAGAAAAAAAAAATGATAATATTGATTTGGGACAACAAGATTCTCTTGCTTTCTACCAAAAAAAAAAAATTATTCTTCCAACAACCTTTAAATCAATTGTTCAAAATATCATGTCAGATGTAACACTCTAGGTGGTTGACTAAGGCCCAACTCCCAAAGCCAACAAATCAATGAGCCCAATCGACATTGGAATTAAAAACTTTTCTAGAAGCAAGTGAGCTACTCACTTGAAGACAGGATTCTCTTGTTTTGTAGTCGTTTTAGATGTACTTTAAGCAAAAAAAGAAACCTTTACAAAAAATAAAATAAAGTGTTGCACAATTTAAATGAGATGGGGAGTACTTGTTGTAAAGTTGAAAGTCATAGTTAGAAATTTCTAAAGAAAACTAGACATGCATATGAATTTTGGAATGAAATAAAGGGCTATGTATGTCACACTGTATGTTTATTTATGTATTGAACAAATCATTTTCCAGACTAAAATTTCAATATTTTTTAACAAATTTAGACGAACCTTTTTCCTGTGGGGGTTGACTAATAACAACATGCATTGTCGTAATTCCACCAGGGACATCACATAAAGCACTTCTGCATTCTCCTACTGTTCTATTGTTCTCCAATATTTTTCCTGCACTAATTATCTTTACATCTTTTACAGTTCTTGGTGCATTCTCCTTCTCTGTTCCATAAAAAATAACAAATCCCCATTTAATATCAATACACTTCTTATACTCTAAACATAATAAACACTTTCAACTAGATCATCAGGGCTTTAGAAGAACAATGGAGAAAGTCTCTTTCTGGTATCGCTAAAAACAAGTCCCTTTAAGTTTTGAATCCCAAACGCGATTCACAGAAGTAACAGAAATATTATCAAAATTACATAATAATAAGTGTATACAGTATAGACTAACCTTTAGGCCATTGAGAAAGGATACTTTCTTTCAAGGTCGCGACACTTGCAGCTGCTGGAAAGCTTTTTGGACCAATATCTGATCCATCAATCAAACGAAACTTAATCTCTAGTGAATCTTGAACAACTCCCGACATATCCCAATTTCTAAAAACCCCAAAGATCTATATGATTTTGAGTGCAAAGGAACAATTATGTAGCCCTAGAAGCTACACAGAGATGGTCTTGATTTTGATCGACAACCATTAATGGTGATCACGCTGAAAACTTCGAATTCTTGAAATTAAATAGTCTCTGAGCTGATATGAGATCCCCTGAGAAGAATATTTCAAGCATGAAACAATCACATCTACTGATTGCAGAGTAAATACAAGAATTAAGATCTCTCTAGCTTCAAAGAAATTAAACACCCAAATATTCTTTTGATAAATGGATATTTCAATTGAATTGAAATAAAAACAAACACTGAAACCTTCAACTAGATCAGACAAATCGATCCAAATTAAAGTCAAATACCACCAACGAAGCGTATCATCTACTCAAATCTTCAGTTGGGTATCGTTATAAATCAAGTAAAAACAAAATTAGAAAGTTTCCTACATGTATGATGATTGAAAGGTTAGGGAAAACCCTTACTTTGCTCAAGAACTGATCTGGGTTGTCTCTCAGAGCGTTAAATTTGGTGAAGAATAAAGTGTGCACGATTCTTAACCCACAAATTAAAGAATTAAAAATCTCGGTGCGATGATTGATTAAACATAAACAATACAAGTCAATCAGAAAAAGGAAGAAGATAAAGAAAGGAGATGCAGGATGGGGAGATGGAAGAATAAAATGGGGGTGTTTGGGAGTTATCGAAAGTCTTGGAAATGTGTGGCCAAATGTGCCAAACTTTCTTCAGCCTTTTCTCCTTCGAATACTCCTCCGAAGTCTATGGTTTAATCGACGTATTTTCTTTTCCCCACTTCTCCTATAAATATACATATACTCTCCTACTCAAACAAAGTATTCAAGATTTGTGTTCTTGCATTGTGTTGCATATTGTCATTCTTGAAATGGTTTGATATAATATTTTAAAATGGTAAAGTGTTAAAATGATATAAATATTGTTCATACAAAAAATTTGGCAGCATTTCCATCCATTATTAAAAAGGATGCAAAATAATTGTAATTGATATGTTAAGGCTTTTAGAAAACAAAGTTTGTTACGGTAGGAAACTTAAACACTTATAATCAGTATTGAGTTTTTCAGATATTTTGCATCAAAATTGGGGCAGAGTATTTCGAATATAATATATCTCAGGAGTTTTACAAATGAACTAGTTGTTATAAAAAGTCAAATTGAATAATAGATATATTTTGTTCTTATTTAAATTTTTTATAGAGAATGATAAATTTGAACACATTTACTTTTAAAAAGACAAATTGTATAATAGATATATTTGTTCTTGTTTGAAAATTTTATAGAGAATGATAAATTGATAAAGTGTTCTTAAGTTTTGTTTTAACTTTTAAAAGATCGGTAAGTTAAATAAAATTTATCTTTACTGTATAAATACTTGATAAGAGCATCTAACTTAGGACGGAACTGAAAGAGATATTTTTGTTATTATAAACGAATGGTCCTTATGGTTTGGATTAATTTATTACAAGCCATACGGTTTGAATTTGTTTCATTTGTCTGTCCTTGATAACTTAAAATTGTGATATTGCCCTTAAGTTTTTCTATATTTCTTATTTTATATTATTAAATAGAATAAATTATTAATATATTAATTAGAATGGTTTACACTCCCTCCTTAAACATCCATGTCTTCATTGGAGAAACACCGCCGTCCATGACTTATAGCCATCACAGAAAAAAACCACAGACCACAATCACCATCCGTATTGGAGAAATTATAACTTATAAAATCCTCTATGATAAATCCATTATTTCAACTAGGAAAAAAAATCAAAACATGATTTCTAAAAACCTGCATCAAAATCCATTTCTCCCCCGTTGAAAGCTAAGGTGACTTTCTATATCTATAACATAACATGAATCCTCTATTATGGTGATTCCACATAATAAAAAAATGTCATGTAAGACCCTTTTTGTGAGTTTGTAGCAGTAAATCAGGGTGTAGATATTCTTAAAAAAAATTCGTTGTATAATAATAAATATTAAATGTGTTGGTAAAATAATACTATGAAATGTCGTATAGTTTTGGAAGATATTATTGACTTAGGCCTTGTTTTTTTTTGTTAAGTCCTACATTTATAAAATGGACTCGATTGCTAATGATATTTGAAGTGATAAAGTATTGTTGATATAAATATTTTTATATTTTGGGTTGAATGCGTGATTATTTTACCCCTATTTAAAATAATAAATTACCATTCTTTAATACTTGTTATAGAATAGAAAAAAAATATCATTTATTTAAGAACCATTATAAATTAAAAATGTATACCATCATATTAAACAACTTTTAAATTTTAAATAAATTAAAAATAATGTGATACTTAACTAATACATTCTAATAAAAATAATTTTAACAAATTTTGTATACTAAATTAATAATTTATGAAAAAATTAGACGTATATTAAAAAAAATGTTCATCGTCGCAATGAATTGATATGCTTATAGAATTGAAACTTACATGTCAATTATTAAAAGGCATACATGAAGCTAAACGTTCAAACATTTCAAATCATCATTAAGTAAAACATTTATCAGAGTTTATCCCAAAATCACTCATTACGGAATTCATAGGTGTGAGCACTGCGATGAATCTGAGCCCTTCTTTTCCAAACTGATGATACCTGAAACAACAAACAAAACTGTAAGCACGAAGCTTAGTGAGTTCCCCAGAGCATACCCCACACAATCCACATAACTAAATAATCCATATCGGCTATAACAACTACATGAACCATATCAATCACATATCCATATCAATCACATAGCCATGCATACATAAAACCTGTAAGAATGTCATGGGCTACCCTACAATGTCTTTACCTATGACTGCCATGGGCTACCCAATAGTCTTACATCCAATGTCATGGACTACCCTACATGGTCTGTACCTAGGACTACCATCGGCTACCCTACATGGTCTTATATCCAATGTCATGGGCTACCCCACATGGTCTTTAACTAGGACTGTCATGGGCTACCTCACATAGTCTTACATCCAATGCCTTGGGCTACCCCCACATGGTTTTTACCTAGGAATGTCATGGGTTACCCCACATGGTCTTATATCTAATGTCACGG